TTACCTGTCTTTCTGTCATGTGCGTTACCTGTCTTTCTGTCATGTGCATTACCTGTCTCTCTCAGTCAGGTGTGTTACCTGTGTGTCTGTCAGGTGTGCTACCTGTCTCTCTCTCTGTCAGGTGTGTTACTTGTTTTTCTGTCAGGAGTGTTACCTGTCTCGCTGTCATGTGTTTTACTTGTTTTTCTGTCATGTGTGTTACTGTCTCTCTGTCATGTGTGTTCCCTTTTTCACTCAGGTGTGTTACCGGTGTGTCTGTCAGGTTTGTTACCTGCAGTGATGTCAGTAATGCTTTACACTAGGTGTAAAGCCTCAGTTTGAGGTGCTGATTACTGCACCTCAAACTGAGGAAGTCTTTCGGATGAAAGACGAAACGTATCTACATTTTTTTGCTTTGTTTTGTTTTTTGAATGTCCAGAGGACCAGTTTGAACTTTTTTAGATATTGTGAAAATAGTTCCAAGCTGAGTTCACATCATCATCATCAGCTAATAGAATACGATGCCAGTCAGTGAGATAAATCCCAGAGGAATGACTGTTCACAAAAACGTTTCCAATCCCTTTTTTGAATTAATCTGGGTTTACAAGGTTGAATTTTAATGTCTCTGAGAGCCGCTATTACACAATGATCACTCAAAATATCAGCAAATACACCTGTACCAGGGAATTTGTGAGGCATATTTGTTAGAAATAGATCTAAGATGAAAGATTTTTCAGGACAGTTCTTGTTTGGTCTGGTGGGAGAGTCAATGAATTGGGTCAGATTAAGTGACAGGCAACATTCCTTGAATTTATCAGAGGGGGGGTCGATTGGTCCCAGTTGAGATTAAAATCTCCAGCAAGTAAAACCTCTTTGAATTGTAACCTAGCAATGAACTCAATCAGGGAGGACAGAACCTCAGGTGTTGCTGATGGAGGGCGGTAACAGCCCACTACAGATAAGATCTGGCCTCCATTCATGTGGTATGCGTGTTACCTGTCTTGTATGCATTTTACCTGTATGGTTGGTGCATTATCTGTCAGGTTGGTGTGTTACCTGTCTCCTTGGTGCGTCACCCGTCTGGTATGCGTGTTACGTGTATGGTTGGTGTGTTACCTGTCTGGTATGCATGTTACCTGTCTTGTTGGTGCATTACTTGTATGGTTGTTGCATTGCCTGTCTGGTATGTGTTACCTGTCTGGTTTCTGCATTACCGTCTTGTGTGAATCCGTCAGGTGTTTTAGTGACTTTAATCTGCAGGTGTGATTAATGACCAGCAGAGGGAGACACTGCTCCACGTGCAGCTTTTTATTAGTTTGAAATCAACAGTAAACAAATTGATCAGTGATGATTAGATCAATACAGGTATTCTACAGCTGATCTTCAGCCAATCACAGCAAAGATTTGATCTGCTGGTCAGGGTTTGATCAACCAATCACAGCGTGGATTCACTCTGTACACGTCCAACAGGCAGCAGTCTGGATGGAGGCGCCGCTCATCTGAGACAAAAACAGGTAGAGACAGACAGGTTCTCAGGCGTTCTAACGTCCACGTGTTTGTTGATTATGTCTTCAGAGACTTACAGATGTTTCCTCCGACTTCGTACAGATGCTGGGGAGCGGGACTATGAGGGTGAGATAGAAACAAACATTTGTCAGGTTTCATAGACTCAGGAAAGTTGCCTCACCTGGACCGACTGGTGTGTGCATTACCTGGACTCAGACTCAAAACGAGTTGTGACGTCTTTGGCTGTTGTTTGTTCATCCAGTTGGATCGCCATGGAGATCTTGGTGTTTAGGGGGGCATGAACCCTTATGACCCCCTCACACAGGTCTGTGATCTGCACACAGAATGACCAAACAGAACCTGGGCTCATGTTTGATCAGTTTTGGATAGAACAAGGTCCTCGGTTCAATCCCTAGTTTGGACCTTGCGTCTTTTTGTGTGGAGTTTGCATGTTCTCCTCGTGGATGTTCTCCGTGTACTCCAGTTTCTTCCCATAGTTCAACAACATGCATGTTGGACTGCCTTCAGGCCCAGGAGGACCTGAACTATGGGATTTACCTAGTTAAATAAAGTTTAATAGTTGTTTCTAGTTTTAGTCTTCACTTGATTCTGGTCTCTGTCTCACATGGTTCAGATCAAAACTAGGTCTGGGACTGACCTGGCTCTTATTCTGGTTTGGGACTCACCTGGTTCTGGTCTCAGTCTCACCTGATTTTGGTTTCAGTCTCACCTGGTTCTTTTCATTCCGTCTCCTCAGCAGACGGGATGTGGTCCTGCTCAGATTCAGCTGTTTCTGATTGGCCACCTGGTTCATCTGCCTCACCTGAGACAGCAGGAAGTTGGGAACCTATGACAAGGACAGGAAATGATGTCATAGCGTGGTGATGTCACAGAGGTCCACTGGGTGGGTTTTGAGACTCACGGTCCATAGCAGGTCCTGATGTCTGATCATTAGTTCAATCAGGTGAGCCCCACCCACTGCATCCTCTAGCTCCTCCCGCTGCTTGGTGATGGTGCGCACGTTTCCATGTTGACATCGAGCAAACAAGTTGGGAGCCATCACCATGGAAACATTCCACAAAGACATTCGGTTCTGGTCCTGATGAGACACAACCTTACGGAGGAAGACCAGCAGGGCCTGTAACCAGGAAGACAGTTAATCTGTAACAATAGCAACCATTTAAGGTGGAGAGCAGGAGATCCTGGTTTAAGGTGGACTTTACTCTGAGAGTGTCTCTGTTAACTTCAGGAAGCAGGAGCAGGAGAAGCTGCAGAGCCTGGACCTTATGGACCTCAGAGGACATGCCTACAGGGACAAACAGGGACATGTCAAACAACACACTCGTTTCACACCAAAGCGAGTGCACACATACCGATCACAGCGCGAAAGGTGGACAGATGTTTTTGTGTCAGCAGAGGTGTTGGCAGCTCTCGAATGAAGAGCTTCAGCAGCCCTGCAGCATCCACCTGTCGCACCGCAGACCAGTCAAAGATGCTGCAGCACCGGTCCAACTCCAGCCGCAGGAACTGTAGATGGATAGAGATGAACAGATGGACAAGGAAAAAGATAGGCCTACTGATTGTAGATCAGTATCTGTGAGTGGACAATTCTGCTAGCATGTTACCTTTAGCCTAGCAGCAGATCCGGATACTCTGAGGATTCCTTCTGTCTGCAGACCACCATGTTCTAAAATACACAAGAACTACATACAGACAGACAGGAAGATGGTCAGGCAGACCCTAGTTCTGAGGTCAGATATCAGTTCAACTCATTTTTTTCCCCCAACTGTTAGCTTCTTGCTAACTGCTAACCACAGACTAATCTGAAGAGCTTCACAGTAGAGGATGACATTTTTTCGGGAGTACCGCAGGTCACGTGATTCCGGCGGGACCCGAGTCAACCTTATTATAACTCACGTGACCGGACTGAAAGTTAACGGAAGCAGACAGGAGTGGGAACCGACCAATAAGCAAAAAAAAAAAAAAAACGGGTCAAGCGCAGGTTTTTTTAATAGTTTTCTTTCAATAATCCTTCACTTTAACACAAGTCAAAAGAACTACATTGCCCAGAAGTCAACTGTTCCAGCCGCTGCTTTTCACCAAGAGGGAGGGAGGAGCACAGCAAAACAACCAAGTGGCTGAAAATAGTTTAAGGTAAGAAGAATCTATCTATTAAACTCACAGGACTGGCAGAAAAGTCAAATAACACTGAATTTCACGAGAGTTGTGTGTGTTGGTGCAAGCTGTGCTGCTTGTAAAACGTTTAGTCTCAGCTGCAATGCGGAGCTGCAGTGGGAGTCAGACTTTTGTTTACGTCAGTAAATACCATACTATTTTATTTATAGAGCACTTTAAACAGCAACAGGGCTGACCAAAGTGCTGTACAAACAGACAGAGCACACAGCAACACATAATGTAAAATCAAACTATAGAAACAAAATCATAGCAGATAATAACATAATGTCTAACACAGTGTGATGCAGACAGGATCAGCACAGTATCATCTGGTGTTGACAGCCAGGGAATAGTAGTGGGTTTTTAAGCAGGATTTAAAAACTGTGAGGGAGGGGGCCTGCCTGACAGGTAGTGGTAAGTCATTTCATAGTCTTGGGCCTGCAACAGAAAAGGTCCTGTCACCTCTGCGCTTAAGACGAGTTCCTGGAACTGTGAGAAGCAACTGGTTTGCAGACCTCAGAGAACGCAGTGGGACATATGGCTGCAGCAGATCAGCGAAATAGGAGGGCACAGAACTGTTCAGTGATTTAAAAACATACAGAAGGATTTTGAACTGGATTCGAAGGTGAACCGGTAACCAGTGCAGGGAGGCCAAAACTGGTGTAATGTGCTCTCTTTTGTCTATACTGGTTAAAAATGGGGCTGCTGCATTCTGGACCAGTTGTAGTCGTGCAATGGAGGTCTGACTGATACCAAACAGGAGCGAGTTACAGTAATCGAGCCTGGATGTAATGAATGCATGTATTACTGTCTCCAGGTTATTTTTGGACAATATGGGCTTCAGTTTAGACAGCCGCCTCAGTTGGAAGAAACATGATTTAACAATCATGTTTACATGATTAAGTTTCAAGGAAGGGTCCATTATCACGCCCAGATTAGAGAGGAAAGGTCGATGCAGTGGTTGATGATTGTGTCGTTGGGAGGAAACAACGTGACTTCAGACTTCTTTCATTGAAACTTAAGAAGTTTAAAGCCATCCAGTCCTTGATGTCAGCCAGGCAGTCGAGCAGAGGCTGAATAGAGCATGTGCCATTGTGTCTTAGGGGGAAGTAAATTTTACAGTCATCGGCGTAGAGGTGAAAGGGTATGTTGTGTTTCTGGAAAATATCACCTAGTGGCAGCAGGTATAAAGAAAATAGAAGGGGACCGAGGATGGACCCCTGTGGTACCCCCCATTTAAGTGCTGCCGATGTTGAACTAAAATCTCTGATGGAGACGCAAAAGGAACTGTCAGCTAGGTAGGATCTGAACCAATTGAAGGCTGATACTGTGATGCCCACCCACTGTTCCAGCCTAGAAATGAGGATCTCATGGTCGATGGTGTCAAAAGCGGCTGTGAGGTCCAACAGGACAAGCAGCACAGAATCACCAGCGTCTGTAAATAGGAAGATGTCGTTAAAAACCTTCAGTAGAGCAGTTTCAGTGCTGTGGAGAGATTTAAAGCCAAATTGGAATAACTCTAAGATGGCATGATCCTCTAGGAAGCACTTCAACTGGGACTCAATTTTTTCCAGTAGTTTTAAGACAAATGGGAGTTTGGAGACAGGCCTGAAGTTGGACACGATTGAGGGATCAAGGTTTATTTTTTTTCAGCAGAGGTTGAACAGCAGCATGTTTAAAAGTTTTTGGCACCACACCTGAGGTTAAACTGCCATTCACAATGGTGAGAATAGAAGGACCTAGAGTAGGAAAAACTTCCTTTAGTAGTCAAGGGGGGACCACATCAAAGGGGGAACCAGATGGTTTCATGCTGCACATGACCTGGTCTAGAGAAGACAGAGAGATGGGCTCAAAGTGGTCAAATAGAGCTACACACTGGGATGGAGGGGCTAGAGGGGAAATGAGAGCCCGGATGTTCACAACTTTTTCTAAAAATAAGTGTAGAAAGTTTTCACACAGTTCAGTTCCAGAGGTGATGGTTCAGTGAGGTGGAGAACTGAATTTAGGGTAGAGAAGAGGACTCGGCGGTTATGAGAGTTGGAAACAATTATATTAGAGAAGTATTTTCATTTAGCAGCTTTTACTGCTTTCTGATAAGAACGCCAACTCTCTTTTAGCATTTGAAAAAAGACCCGCAGCTTGTCTCTCTTCCACCTGTGCTCTGCCCTCCTGCACTGTTGTCTAACGGCCTTAGTGACGTCATTAAGCCAAGGTTCTGATCTGAGTTCCATTTTTCTGTTTTTTTAAAGGAGCAACATGATCCAGAGCCTTTAAGCAGACAGAGTTGAACTGGGAGGTTAGCTCATCAGTGGTGGTAGGAAACACTGGGGGCGGATTGATCATTTCAGAGTTAGACATCTGTGAAACGTGTGGCAGTGAAGCCCGGCTGCAACGTGCAGGAGCGCACAGTTTAGGAGTTAGACTGGGGGAGGTGAACTCAAACAGGACTGGCATGTGGTCTGAAAACACATTATCACTAATTTCAAAACTACTAACAGTAACATCACGAGTTAAAACAAGGTCCAGTGTGTGCCCGCGTTCCTGGGTGGGACCGTTTACCTGCTGAGCCAGACCAAATGAGTCCAATAAATTTAAAAAGTCTTTAACCAAGGGCTTGTCCTAACAACAAACATGAATATTAAAGTTCCCAGTGATCAAAACACGACCAATATTTCAGTGTGATTACAGCCAGGAAGTCAGAGAATTCATTTATGAAATCAATGGATCGAGGGGGGCGGTAAACAAGTGTGCACAGAGTCGAAGGCGAATGGCCGAGTTCAAAGACGCTCAGCTCAAAGCTGGAGCAGGAAACCAGGATGGGCAGTTGTTTACAGACAAAAGTTTATTTGAATATTGTTAATAATCCACCACCGCGCCGGCCTGATGGCCGCAGGGTGTTAAAATACAGACAGTCCGGGGGTAATAATTCCATCAAGGCGCTGGACTCACCGGGAGACATCCAAGATTCCATGACGTAGAGAAAGTCCAAATCGTGCTCTTGGAAGTAGTCCTTGAGGACAAAAGTTTTGTTGGTAACGGATTTTGCGTTGACCACACACATCCTGATACAGTCCAAAGTGGACCCAGTAGTGGTGAAGGGAGCGCGTGCCAGTGGCCGCAGATTTTGAACATCAGCACCTCCAGGTCGGGTCATGCGCCGCGCCAGTAGACAACTCCCGATGTTTACATGGTCTGAGCGTGCTGGATTCAGGCCAACAGCAGAGCCACAGAAGCACGGGTTCAGGAGACGAGGATCAGATCCAGAACGAGCCCTATCATCCTTGGTAGAATAATCCAAACAGTGCTTCATTTTCACCAAAACTCCAGCACGCTTTATCTGACATCTGCGGCGTTTCTTCCATGAAGAAGGGCCAGGGTCACGAAGCAGGAAGGCAGGTATCCCAGACAGGACTGGAGGTAGAGAGTCCCGACCGCTGTGGAGAATCTCTGCAGTCAATTCTGCAAATCCACGGCGCTCCAAAAGTGCCCGACTATCATATTGCAGATATGCGTCGACACACTGCATAAACCACTGTAAAACTAACATAAATAAAACCAAAGCAGAGAGCAATGTACGGCAAGACCTACACATTGGCGCCATCTTAAACAAACTCGCGTATTTTTCTTCATCTTGTCTCTTTTAATTTAAAAATTATGCTCTGCTTTGTTATGTGGGTTTTTAGGTTAAAATCTTCATTTGTCACTGTTCGTAATGTTAAAAAATAAAGAATTCTTCCTGGTTAAAGTGCACGCATTCTCCAGTAAAAATATCCCTATTTTTAATATTGTGATATCCTGCTGGATACTGAAATCAAGGAAGACGTGAATAACCTTCACTTTATTGTGTAAATAGTTACTGTCGGCTGCAAACCATGCCAGTACAACAACAAACTCGTTAGAGTGAAGGCATTCTCCGGTAAAAATATCCCAGTTTTATATGAATGGCTGGTTGCATATATATTATAATAATTGTTTTATGTTATAATAAATGTTTATTATGTTGTGTTATATTTTAGGCCAAGAGTTGATTTTTCTCAGTTCATTTCTTCACACCAGGGGCGATTCTAGAAGCCCTTTTTAGGGGCCCTTAGCCCCCCAGTGTTGACAATGGCTCTTGGCTTGAACACCACAGTGTGTATTAGCATTAGAATTACTGTAGGGGGGACATATTGGTGTGAGGTCTGTGGGTCCTCCCCCATAACTTTTTAAATAAAGCAGCAGCTATTTCCTGCATTCTGGTGTATTTTAACAGGTTTTAAAACATCTATGTTTACCTACATAAGTAAATCCTTGATTCAATAACCGTTTTATAAAGCATGGCACAAGAAGTAGCACTAAGCTTTTTGTTTGTCTTTAATTTAATTTAATTTTTCTACCTAACACAGGAAGCTGTTAGCTCTGGAAGCAAACTGTTAAACAGCTTTGGACACAAAGACCCTTGTCCCACTCTTCAACAGAGCAGGTAAGATACAGAACATCTTGTAATCTCTGCCTGTGAGGCTCATTAAATAATTATAAAATATAATAAGTGAAATAAATAAAGAAAAATTGAGCTTCTGTAATTTATAATTGCAAATGTCACATTTTCTTGACTTAATTTCAATTGTAAATCTCTTGTTTTTGATCAAATATTTTTTTTCAAAAGAAAGACCAACAGATTGTAACTTGTAGTCACTGTGACTATTTTGACTCGTGCACGTCTTCTTTCACTTTTAGGTTCCACAAGGCTCTGGACTGGTCCAGCTGTGGAGAGATGAGGTGGAACACCAGACCTGCAATGGTCCAGTCTGTAAATGATGCTCTGAAGTCTGGGAAGATGCACGACATCATGCTTCACCCAAACGAGCTCGTTACCTCGACCACATACACTGAACTTCTGGAGGACGTCGTCCAATGTAGAATAACGCCTTTAAACATTTTTATTTGTTGAGTTCTCTGCTTGGTACATTATTTGTCTTTTTTTGTTTGTTTGTTTAAACAATTTCAAACATGACAGTGATGTCACTGTTTAAAGGAAACAATTGTTCAATAAATTAGTAAAATGCAACTTGTTCTGTTTGGGTTCTTTCATCTAAGGTAGACATGGTGTGACCCATGGACTGGTTTTGATTTTTTGTTTTTACTGGAACTGACCTTCAAAAGAGCCAGAAACAGACTCATCAGCTGATCCTCCGTAAAAACATTATATGGACTACAGGCCATGGATTATTTGTTTTATGACATTTAGTGAAGGTTTTTGTTTGGATTAAGACAATAAATGTCTCTATTTCACCACAGATGAACTGTTCCTGTTGCCATATATTTTTAAATAAAACTACAGAACACAAAGTAATTTAAAAAGGAATGGGTAGAAGATCAAATCAAATTCAATGTATTTCCTAAAAATTAAATGAAGAGACAATAACAGGAACGGTACAGGAGTGGCAGTGATTCTGACTGGGAGTCATGTTACCAGGAGTGGGACAGGACAGGATTTTTTCTGTGGGACCAGGACAGGACAGAAAAATCCACTCCCGTGTCATCCTCTAGTTCACAGCATCAGAAGGACAGACCGGTAAACTGACAGACAGGTGAATACAGACACAGATAAAAAAGACAGGTAAACAGACCGGTGTATTCTTCACCTTCTGGAAGATGACAGGAACTTTGACCCCTGGATATGTCTTCCTGTCGTTCTCCAACATGGACTTCAGAGAGACTCCGAAGACACCAGTGTCTGATGGACAGAGGACAGACAGACATGAGGACTTGTCTTTGATGCTTCTGAGTCACTGTGTCCCTAACTTTCTTCTCTAAAGTCCAACAGTACTACTGGATTCTACTGGAGCCCCTGAAGGCCTTTAGTGTGGGGTCTTGTTTACAGGAGGCTGGTCTAGAATCACCAAAGAAGTGGTCCAAAATAAATCAGAACCAGTTATGGTCCACCTAGAACTGTGGATTTTGTTTACCAGAAGAGTGGGTTTAAAAGGATTATATTCAGAATATACTGAAGGACCAATCAGAATCAGAGGTTGGGTCCTGGTTCTTGGGTCTACTGCAGTTGGATGTTTCTCTTCTTCAGCAAACCTGATGTAAATATGAAGTGACCTCCTCAACAAACCTTCATCTTTAGTTAGCCAGTAGTTTAAATCTGGTGAGTTTAAGCAGAACAATATTTAGAACATGAAGGACAGGAGGTTCTGAGGACAATGGTTGGACATCACCCACTTAAAAGAACTCATAAAGAATAATTCCAACCAATGGTACTACGTGTGAGAACATCTAAACCAAGTATCCATGACATGTTCCAAAGAAGCTGAACCTAAAACACTAAATAAGTTTCTTTCAGCTGCTCTTCAGGGGCCGCCACAGTGAGCGAACTCGCATCAAAGATTTGTATTTTATACCAGATGTCCTTCCTGACGCAACCTCTGATCATCAAGCACCTGCGTGCTTTAGAGCCAAGGCACCAAATAGACTTTCTAAATGATCTATTAGAAAGTCTGTTCTAGATTCCTTATCTTCAGATTTCAGAACATGAAACTAAAACATTAAATCATAAACAGCTGACATTTTTCTCTTTATTAATGTCCCCATTTTGGATCTACCTCATCCTCCTTTAATGGGTGCTTCTGTTCCACGGGGCTTTTAGGTCACTGTATTTAAACCTTTAATGAAGAAACCTCAGGCATTCCAGAGTTCTGCTCCTGAAGGACTGAAGACTGCTGGATGACAAACTGTGAGTTTGTATGATTTCTATTGTAAAGAAATATTTTTGTACAGAGCCCTGAGAGGACCTTTTTGTAAATAGGTGCTAAACTAGAAAATGAACTGCACTGAACTGAATTGAATCCCCTGACTCCTCCCAACTGTCCGGCCGGGTTAGCCCTCTACTTCTTGATCTGTTTGCTGAAGCCTGCTGTGTGTTGTCTCAAACCTGTGTTCGAACCGTCATGTAAAAATGAAGCGCACCCCGAGTCTTGCTGCGCAGAGGGCGGGTGCGTTTGGTTTGGATGCCCAAAGCCAGCAGGAAGGTGGAGAGTTCAATGTGAGAGATGAAGCTGAGCCGTGTGAGGTCACATGATGATAGGTCGTCAGTGCAGGTGAGACCCTGTGACGGGGTCACAGGTGCAAACTGCACCAGAACACAGAGACACTGTTACAGGAACCAATCGGCACCAGAGGTAGGGAGGTACCTGAGCAGGTAATACTCACCTGCATCTCATCAAGCTCATCTTCATGAAAACACTCGCAGTCCCTACAAGTCCTGCTCTGTTTGTGTTCAGCCACTACCTCAGAGTAAGCAGTGTCCCGCAGCAGCCAGTCAGCTGGTTTAAGCAGACTCACAGGTGGGGGGAGTGTGTGAGGAGGGGAGGGGGTGAGTGATGGAGAGGACAGGTCGTCAGGTGGTTGTTCGTCCAAAACAAACATTGGAAGAGTAGGCCGCCCTGTGAACATCAGAACAAAGTGTACACCAACACAAAACATCTGAAATTGTTTTGTAGACTTCTTCAAGCAATAAAAGCATCTCTACTATCACACAGAGGGTCTGTAGAACCAACAACATGACTTTACAACCACGAAAGGGTTTGTAGAACCAACAACTAACGACAGAACTATAAGTGGTAAATGGGCTGCATTTATATAGCACTTTTCTATCTTATCAAGATACTGAAAGCACTTTACAACACAATCTGTGCCCTCGTATTGTTGTAAGGTTTAAGCTGTTTTACCATACCTATTTCTTTTGAAAGTAAAATTTAATTTAAAGATTTGTAATCTTATGTTTTGAAATTTTTCCATTTTAAGAAGGGTAAGGTTTATTTGAACTTTGCAATTTAATTAGCTTAATTTTGGTTTTAGTTAGGTTTTTAGTTTAAAACTCTTCTTGATTAGTTGTTTAGTTTGAGCCTTGTGTAGCTTGATCTAGTTTGAGTACACAACTGGAGACAGTTGGTCTGTTATTAGATGTATTCTTGTCCACCCTGGAAGGATGTTGTGGGTGAGCATTCCAGCTTTGGAAGCTTTCTGTCTAGTGGGTGGTGTGGAAGTGTACTGGACCATTTTCTTCCCCCACTTGAAGCTTTTCATGGGAGGCTTTTTGGTCATGGTATGTTTTGAGTTGTTTAGTCATCTTGTTAAGACGCTTTTTATTAAAGGTGAAGGTATTTCTTGGTTGTTTATTCCGATCTTTCATGTACTGGGGTTTGGCGTTTTCACCAGGTTTGTAATATGTGTATAAAGGAAGTGTCATTTGTTGACCATTCATCATCTTAGTTGAAGAAATGCCAGTAGATTGATGTGGAGCTCTTGCAGGTTGGAACTGGCAACAGATCATGCAGTCTCTGATGTAGCTGTTTACATCTTTGCACATTCCTGGCCAGTAAGAAACCCGTCTTAACACTTTGAGTGTTGTTTTCGCACTATTGTGTTTTGAAGATGGGGTTTCATGGGCATGTGCTATCATCACCCCGCTGTGGTCATGAGGCACCACGAACGAAGGTGAAGTTGTTGGCTCAGGAGCAAATACTAACATGCCCTTGAACATTTTCAGGAAAGGTTTTACCTTGAGGAATGAACAAAGTTCAGGGATTGAGTCAAGTTCCTCTGAGGAGGGAGTGACATGATCTGGATCAGCTAGGTAGTGAATCATACGTTTGATGGCTGGATCCAGAGATTGAAGCTTAATGATGTCTTTATCAGACAATGCTGGTCCAACTGAGATTGTGTTAGCAGTCAGTTGTGAAAGATCAGAAGAGCAGGCTGTAGCACATGGATGTGCGAGCGTTTGCACTGCTTGGGTGGGTGGGTTTGGGATAAAATCAGGTGGCCAGGAGGGGTCAAAAGACTGTCTGTTACCACTAGTGGTACTGTTGTTAGTTAACGAGTCTGTGAGATTGTTAACCTGTTTGTTTTGTCCTGACACCTGTGAGTGGCCTCTGGCGTCACTGAGAACAGATGGACTCTGAGTCAGAGCATCATAGAGATCCTTGTTAGTGTTGGATTTGTCAGTCTGAAGAGACACTGTAGTGACAATCATATGAGCTTTGTAGCTCTAGTGGTTGTGCAGGTGTCACTGACACTACCTCTGTGGGAGGTGTGTTCTTAGTCACCTGATGTTTGTCTTTGGGTGGGGAGATGGTTGACCTTCCAGACGTATCCAGTGCCAAGCACTGTGAGTACAGTTCTGGTCCAGCAAAGATGGGCAGGGGTTGGCGCACCTGGGTCCAAACTTTTGAGATTCTTAAAATCGATCAAAGGCTGAAATCGTGTCAACAAATATTGTCCCACCAATAGTGGAATTGTTTCTAAATCAGACACATAAACTGGATGGCTAAGTGTCATGTTACAGATCTTAAATTGTATCTAAGTCACAAAGGATACAGTTGTTGTTAGACGTGTAAGGTTTGATACCAAGGAGGCACGGCTTAAGAACCAAGTTCTTGTTAGCGTGTTTCGCTGCTGACTGCAGTTTCTTGAACAGGGTGGCTGGCATCAGGGTGACATTTGCTACGGTGTCAAGAAGTGCATCGTGAGTGAGAACTTGTTCCAGCGTTAGTGAAAAATAAAACTTTCCTGCGGACCCTCGTTCGGTAAGGTTACACAAAAATTGGTGACTTGGAGGTTCCTCTGGGTTCATTTGAACTTTTGAGATTGCATTCAGGGTGTGTGAATAGTCGGTCTGTTGATCTGAAGGCAGAACAATGTCAGAAATAGAGTTACAATCTGCGGTTGCAGGTTGAAGTTCTAAATCTGCAGCTGCAGCTTGTTGGTCCAACGGTTGGTTGGCCAGAGAGGTCACTGACCAAAAGTCAGCACCTTTGGTGACTTTGACTTGGTGTGTTTCATGAAGGAAACGTTTATTTCTTTCAAGTTCTCTAGGAGTCAAGTTGGTAGATTTACATTTTTTTATCTTTGTTGATCCTTTGTACTTTTCAGAACGTTTCTGACGTACTAAAGGTGGTTTTCTTTCAGGTCGAGAGTGGCGATCATGAAAGGTGTGGGTCTGATTAGGAGAGTGTTTACCCCCCTGAAGAGGTTTCCAAGAACCTTGGTATTTACCGGGACCTTTCCTCTGGTAAGGTGTCTTAAGCCGGAAATAAGATGGGTTCTTGTCAGCTTTGGGAAAGAGGGGTGCAGCTTTTGCTCTGGTTGAGTCAGTGTCCACACTTGCCCTGTTAAGTCCCAAAGTTGAGGGTATTGTGCTCACAGCGAAAACATTTTTGGGTTCTGCTGGCTTAAATTGGTTCAGCTTTTGAAAAGCCCTGCAGGCTAACTCTCTTAGCTGAAAGATGGTGAAGATTTGTGGGTCAGCAGAGATGCCGAGTAAGCTGGTAATTGACTCATGGAGATACTGGATGAAGAGTGTTTTAAAGTTTAAATCTTCTTCCATGTTGGGGTAATTATTATAACCAAAGTAAGCATTGAACAACTGGTGGTAGTAAGCCTGTGGGTGTTCATCTCTTCCTTGTTTGATGTTCAGAGCAACTATTAAACCTGATGGGAAAGCAAGGTCAGAAAACTCTCTCTCTACAGCTTGGTGCAAGAGAGAAAAGTCATTTCTGATGTGAGATATCTGTCGGTCGATAAACCTTTTTGACTTCTCTGTTAGAAGTGATTTTAATAAGATAAATCTTGTCTTCAGTAGATGCATGTGGGAACCAGCTGAGGTGATATTCCACATCATCCAGATCCAATTTTACATCCATACCTGTGTGAGAGTCAAAATTTTGAATGTGTTTAGCAATCATGTCCAGATCTTTGTTTGTTAGTTCAGATTGAACTTGGGTGCTCATTGGTGGTGAGGAGGGGTTGGTTCAGTTCGACCATTCCAAGTCTGTTTGGAGGGTAATGTCTGTTTACCTCAGTGGAGGACTCAAAAGTCCAGGGGTACTCACCGTTTGGTTCCAGGTCATCAGATCTGGAAAAGTGATTTTCTGAAATGAGATTACTTACCGGATGTGATTGTTTTTTTTAGGCCATTGTTGAAAGCTCTGACATTGATGCCAGGAGGAGGTCGTAACCTCAAGTTGGATGGATTCTTTGCTTCAGACAGTTGGTCCTGTAAAAATTTGATTTTTTCATCTTTGAGTTTTAAATGAGTAAGGCAGATATTATTTTGTTCAAGTATAAACTCATTGTCATATGATTTTCTTAGAGTTGTAAAAATCTCAGTTTTAGTTTTGATTTCATTAGAAAGTTGGGCTTGTGTGTGCATCAACTTCTGTTGTAAATCATCATAATATTTTTGCATTCTCAGATATTCTTGGTTGAGAAACTTAAACTTTGTTTCAGCATCAAATAATTTGTTTTGTAAGGGTTGTTCATTGGACAGCCTGGAGTCATACTGATGTTTCAGATGAGTATTTTGTTTTTCAAGCTGTGAAATTAAGTGTAGATTGTTGTCTGATTCGGTTGAATCAGAAAACGAAGAGATAGTGTCATCTTCTTTAGAGCTGAAAGCCATTTTGTGACTTTATTTATTTACCCATTTAAGCAGAACTAAATTAAAGCTAGGTTTTAACTTTAAAAATGTGTTTACTTCTGAGGGGTTAACTTTAGGTGCTGGTTAATTTAAAAGTGTATTGATGAAAAGTTGTTTAAATAAAGTGTTTAATTATTAGAAGGAACTCGGTTGCTTCATTTTTAAAATTAAAGCTAAATTAATAAACAACATTTAATATCAACAAATATTACATTAGTTTAATCAGGACTTAAAATTTAAAACATTTCCCATGTATGACAAAATTCTTTAGAATGGTTAGTTAAACTGAGTATTTCAGTTAAAGTGAATTAAGTTTCTTTGAACAAGAAATAATTTTTATTTATTTACTTTAGAAGTCTAAGTTTTCAGCTTAGTTTGAACTTATAAACTGAAAATATTGTCAAATTTAAGAAGAAATGTTGATTAATTTGTTTAAAATGTGTTATCCACAAATGCTTACTTGATTTTTTACTTGTTTAAAGTTTTTATTTAAGTTAGTTAATTTTTATTTAACCATTATCAAGGTTTAACTCCAATAGTTTGAAATTTAATTTTAGTGTAATATCCTGATGCATGCTCAATAATCCAGGTAGAAAAATCCAAAAAAGTTCAATCTGGTCCTCTGGACATTCAAAAAAACAAAAAACAAAACAAAGCAAAAAAATCTAGAAACGTTTCGTCTCTCATCCTGAGGACTTCCTCAGTCTGAGGTGCTGTTTTCAGCTCAGTCTCTTAAATAGCACCTTCACAGAGTGGATCAACCAGTTTGCTGCTGACAACCAAAACCAGCTGATCACATGCTCAAGAAGGACCATCAGCCTAACAATGGATCATTAGCACCTGATGGCTGTTTACTGTTCACAGAGGGCTGAGTGATACTAGCAATCACAGCATTGTAAGAGGGGGACAGTTGAACCTGGAGGCCTCCACCCCTGTTTAATGATGGACGGTTTCTTTTCACAAAGATGGCCTCCTTTACTCCTCTCTCAAACCATCGTTCCTCTCTGTCCAGGATGTGAACATCTTCATCCTTGAAAGAGTGACCGCTGGCCTGGAGATGAGTGTAGACCGCAGAGTCCTGGCCTGATGATGTTGATCTTCTGTGCTGGTCCATCCTTTTGGCCAGTGGCTGTTTTGTTTCCCCGATGTAAGACTGATCATCCTCCTGACACTGAACAGCATACACAATATTACTCTGTTTGTGCCGGGGGACTGGATCTTTGGGATGAACCAGTCTTTAATGTATTTTGGGGTTTAAAAGCCACTGGGACGTTATGTTTAGAAAATAAACGTCTCAGTTTCTCTGATACTCCCTCAACATATGGAATGACCACTGGTCTGGGTCTGGGTTCCTCCTTTTCACCTGATGGCTGACTGGAGTCCTGTTTGGGTTTCTTCTCTGCTTTCAGGAAGGCCCAGTTAGGATATCCACATTGCTCTAGAGCCTGTTTTGTGTGGGATTTCTCCTTCTGCCTGGCTCCCGAGCTAGTGGGGATGCTGTCTGCTCTGTGATACAGAGTCCTGATGACTCCTAACTTGTGCTCCAAAGGGTGATGGGAGTGATGGGTGCTATTTAAGAGACTGAGCTGAAAACAGCACCTCAGACTGAGGAAGTCTCTTGGATGAGAGACGAAACGTTTCTAGATGTTTTTGCTTTGTTTTGTTTTTTTGAATGTCCAGAGGACCAGATTGAACTTTTTTGGATTTAGTGTAATACTTTCTTTGACCACTAGGTACCGTAGCGCTGTTTGGAAAAGAAGCGTGTACCTTTAAAGGAAGAGGCGGAGCTTTGACGTTTTTCTTTCCGGGTCAAGCTCTCTTCAAAATGGTGGACGTTCTGTTTTGGAGCTATTATTAGCCTTTTGTCAGCTCAAGCATTTATAAAATCAATAAACGAATTCTCAACTTCTTTTCACGGCGAAAGGAAACTTGAACAAGCGATCAGCATGAAGCATGAAAGTCTTTCCACAAATCTGGATGAACGAAACGTCACTTTTAGCCGGAGTGGGCCTGTTAGCTTAGCTTAGCTTCTCAGCTTAGCTGCTATTATGATCCAAAAAACGTAATTTTGGATGGTTTACAAGCGGATTTTTCACCGTTAAATTTTCACTATAAAGACACGACTCTGTCAGTTTGCCTTAGTGAATCAGATTAGGACTTTTTACCATTTAAAGTGTCATTAAACGGGCCGTTAGATTTAGTTAGCTACTCTAATTGTTAACGAATTCCATTCTGATATATTAGATTTACCGTTTGTTGAGGCTTAAAAATCTAAACTATTTGAATTAAAATTTTGAAAACAGGATTATTAAATCCTTACACCATAGATTTTGATTCGGCTTCACTCAATTGGTTATAAAATGCATGCAAAATATTTATTTTAAATGGAGGAGCAGACACGGTCTGAGCAGTGTGGCCCCCACCTTTTCATACGGAGACGCGCACACACACACGCAGACCTACAGCTTCGAGCAGACGGAGAAACGCGGTGCAGAGAAAGAAAACCGCTTAAAAACACAGTTTTATGTTCAAATTCAACAATCCAGCGTAGAGAATAATTTTTCTGTGTGTATAATTTGCATAGAATGCTCTTTTAATGAGCCTCACATGGGGCACCAATTTATGTAAAGGAAAGGGTCCTCAGATTGTTGAATTTTTATTAGTAATTTTATTCCAAAGGGGCACCACTTGCTTTTCGGTTTTTAAGCAAGAAAATTATTAAATCAGACTCAAGTTTTGTGCACTAGTGAATTATTTTCTCGTGTTTAAAAGGCATCAAATCAGTAATACACACAGATATGCCAAAATAATCACAAATTTATTTGATTTTATGTATTTTATTATCAAAATAATCTGTGATATATCAGATGAAGATCATGCATAAAATGAATACACAAATGAATAACAAATAGCTTTGTATCAAAGGTCTAGTTGGTTATTCAAATCAATGAAACTTAAAAAAGGCATATTTTGGACTAGTTCTGTTTGTGGAGTAGTTGAAATTGTGTCTA